TTTTTACTTAAGGTAATATACACGTGTATATTTCTAATAGTTGAGATTATGAGTCAATTGAAGCTAGACCGCCTTTGAAAATCTTAAAGCACTGAACGGCCGTTTGTTAGTACATACATCTTATTCTTCCTGTTCGACAGCTTAGGTCATGCAAGTAATTCTATTATTATGAATTCAGTTGGTTTTGGATAGAGTTTGGAAAAACGGAAGGTATTAGGGACTGGTACGGTACCCACTGCTTATTGATGAGGTATTTTTACTTAGCAACAAAGCGCTGGTACTAGGACTTATTACAGCTAAAATTATGGGAGATGAATTAAGTGAATTAGAATGTTGATTATTTCTGTATTTGTAATGAATTAACCTATTTATCTAGTAAGACAAATAATCACTTTTATACCAGATTGTCCTTAAAAAGCCTTTTTAAAAGGGTTTATACCACTGTAAGGGAGGATGTAGTTTATGTAAATAATGGTGTATGTTGTGTAAAGTAGATTTCATGTTAACATCACTAAAGTATTTACCGCCTTATCTAATAAGTTATGAATATTGTAGCGTTGTTGTCATTTTTTGTTTTGCATCTGGTTACACTTTATTTTTTAACAAAACCTATAAATTCCTGTGTTTAAAACATTTAAATGTAACACAGAGTAAAATTTGACACAACTTCGTTAACTGAGAGCAAACGTTATTTTGGGTCATACTACTTTCATTATATGAAAGTGCATTAACCAATAGAATCCTATCTCATCATTAAGACGTTTATTTAGCAACACAATCGATATAATGTTTGTGAAAAGTTTGAAACCACAAGCTCCTTGTACTGTTGTCGTTCTTACGATCACTCATGCTCTTAAACTCAAAAACATTTCACGCACCATAGTTAGAGATGCTAAAACTGATGTCCATCTGAGAGAATGGCTTATACTGTGTGGTAATCAAATTGATACTTTAATTCTGACCGAATTGCGTTTAATCAACGTATAGACTTTATGAAAAATCGGTGACGTAATGTTTATATGTGATTCTTTAAGACAGTTGTAGTTTCGCATAACACTATGTATAAATAAATGTCATCTAAATTTTTTTCTATTGATAATTGTAACATGAATATGAATACATTCAAATGAAAATTTTCTCGCCTAATTTTTTGTAGGGTACCGCTTTGGGTATGTGTCCGAAAGATAAGCTATTCCGCGGTTACATTGAATTGGAGATCCAGTTGAGAGAATTTGATAGATGTCGTAAATTATATGAAAAATTCCTGGAATTTTCTCCGGAAAACTGTACTACATGGATGAGGGTATGTCATTCCACTTTTATGCTGCTCTATTCTGTACTACATATTTGAATTTTTCCTAGTTGATATATCATGTATGATGTGTGAAATCCCTAGTGATTTATTTTAAAGTAGAAAAATGATGTTTTTTCAAAAAGAGGTAAGTATTAAACATGTCTTTGACCTTTTATTGAATGTAAATGCTTCTACGTTAGTGATACTTGTTATGCATTATAGAATATTTCGAGGTGAAAAAACAATCAGAATGATTGACGTGGATTCTATTAAGGATAACTGATTGGTGTGTTTGTATGCTGGAAGTTTTAGTTTCCGTTTGCAACAATAATTGCTTACTGTAATACCTTATACTGATATGCAGTATTTTAAAGCAGGTCAAATAAACTTCACTGTATGCAAACCACACTATATAATATTTTGGTTTTTGACTTGTACATGCCTAAGTTGTACTATGTCTGGGGATTCTAGTTTTATCTTACTGTACTGCGAAATATCGACTCCACTTAACGGCGTATACTTTGTACAGCATCATCATTCATAAGAACTAGTAGTTGGCTCATCCAGAATTATGAAGTCTTATAGCTAAAAGACGAAAATTGTAGGCATAAGGATTTGTAGAATCTGAATACCATGACTATTATTTTACATTTCCAAGGAAGAAAATTGTATTCTGAAAGACAAAACCTGAAGTTCATTTTTTCCATCATTTCTGTAAGATAAAAATATTCAGTGTGGATTATCAATTTGCCAATGATTTTCAAAGACTTTATCCGTTGATTGTTTATATCTAGTTGGCTCTACACAATCAAACGAGAGCTAATAATGATTTTTATCCTTTTACTTTTATATATCAACGATTAACAAGTATGCTGAATTGGAAAGTCTTCTGGGAGAAACAGATCGTGCACGAGGTATTTATGAATTAGCGATCAACAGGAAATTGCTGGATATGCCGGAATTATTATGGAAAGCATATATTGACTTCGAGATTGAACAGTATGATTGGGAACGTGCTCGGTCACTTTATCGAAGACTGCTAAATCGAACACAGCACGTCAAAGTAAGTGTTGTTTTTACTGGTTAAGTCATAAGATAAAGGAATGTCACTATGAAAGATAACCATTTTCAGCAGGTTGTACATTCTAAACAAAGTGAAATACTGTATTCATCTTAGTAGTTCTATTAAGACTAACTACAAAATAAAGTGGATAATACTGTCGAAATGGATGGTTGTAAAATCTAAGATGTTTATTTAGTTGTAGCCGAGACCAGTTATCTGAAATAACTTGCTATAATCTACTACGCCGAACTCCAAAACGTTACTCACTACGTTATCGAATGATGGTAGTTACTCCGTATCCAAAACACATCCGTAATCCGAGACCAGTGAGATCAATGTACCCTGTGTATGGCAGGAGTCATCAAATGAGAGTAAAATGGACTGTCCACATATTAAAAAACCCATCTCTAATGTAACTGGTTTCTTAAGGTAGACCTAGAGACATCTTTTATCCTATGTTGTTAACATAATTTCAGTTTCACGTGACCATCATAGTAGTTTAATCTACCTCAATGACGACCCTTATGTTTCAATTAGTTTAAAAGTAAAATGTATCCTACTCTCTGAAACAAAGCCCACACAATTGGATTTCCCACCTGTTTGGTAACCAAAGTAAATAAGTTGTAAGTTCTGAGTCTTAGAGGCAACTTTGAGTGTGATTGTATACATTGGGCGACATAAACTCAAGTGTACGTTCTATTTTACCAACTAACTTAATTGTTAGTGCATCCATCGGGTCCGCATTTCTGTTTAGTTAAAATGTTCGGGTTTGAAAGTTGTTCATATTTTATAAACTTCACCTGCTCAGGAATTCGTGAGTTACAAGTATTTCATTTGTATTTTGACAAACATAGAAATATCTCAGAGCTTAACTAAACGCTGATGTTAACAGCATCTAAATAACTGAGATACTCAAAATCATATCACAAGTCCGCACTTCCAGAAAGTAGTGTTACACTGTATTATTGATAAATTACACTATAAAAGAAGAGAGTGGGGTATTTTATCAGACTACCAACTATCCAGACAAACCTAATTGGATAATTATAGTAAGACTGTTTAAGAATGATTGTGGATTATCAGTACTCCAATTCGGTACCAGATTTTATCGTACATATTAATTTGCTTGTCAGTGATGACTAAATATTTTAAATTGGTTCTTATCGATAGGTATGGTTAAGTCTTGCAAACTTCGAATTGTGTGCCTTGAACAAACTCACAGCCGCTGATTTAGATGATGAAGATTTAGAACATTTGAAAGATGTTGAACTGGACAAAGAAACATTAATACAAGAACATAATGAAAACGAAATCAACAAAGCAGTAGAACGTTCACGTAAAATCTACCAAGAAGCAAATAAAGCTCTGAAATATACAGAGGATAAGGAGCAACGTGTTCGATTACTTGAAGCTTGGAAGGAATTTGAAGTAAGTTACTATATCTTGCTTGACTTTCCGAATAGGAATTTGCCTATTATATTCATATCAGTTGTTATTTGTATACATATGTAGCAAAAGTGTTTACTTCTAAGTGCTTTTAGATCGTAGATATTTATAGTAACTCATCTTAAAGTTTGAGTTTTGCACTTATTCTCAAGACTTCAATTTTTAGAATGTCCTATCCACAGTCCCCATAATTAAAAAGTAGGTGTATCTTTTTGCTTATTTGATTGACTGGCAGATTTTGAGTACGGTTACCATTTGGAATAAGAATAATTTTACAACTGCATTTATCAAGGGTAATTTTCCTCTTTTATAAGTCAGTCAGTAACAACGTAGAACTTCGTACGTACGTACATCAGTTCGAGTTGCCACACCACCAATGTGTAAGACCATATTGTATACTGAAAAATTCACTTATTATTACTATCGTCGCAGCTGATTAAAAATTGTTGTGCATACCTACATAAAATGTCTCAAGTCCTAGATTTATTACACCGCTCATCTCTTAATACAGTATTTAACACGAAGTTGCTGGAGGAGTGAAGTATTTGTAAATTAGCTGTTGTCTAGAATAATTGCCATATTGGGTTTCATGTTAGTAGCTGTCATGATCATTGGTATTTACAATACGATTTATAAAGTCTAACAAATCGTATCTTTTAATTTTGGTTCCTTCCTAAATTTTGCTGCCTTTAGTATGAATATGGAACTGAAAAAACACAGCGAGATGTTGATAAACTACAACCGCAGAAGGTCGTTCGCAGTCGCCGACTTGGTGATGAACGTAGTGGTTGGGAAGAATATATTGAGTATACATTCCCCGATACAGATGCAGAAAAGCCAAATCAAAAATTGCTTACAATGGCCGCTAGATGGGCAGAACAAATGGAGAGGAAAAAAGCAGCTGCAGAGGCCGAAGGTAAAGAGGATAGTGATTCCAGTGAAGAATCTGAAGAAGAAGAAGAGGAGGATGATTTACAAGGTGATGAAGATGATAATCGTATTCCTGAGAGAGAACCCACATGGTTTGACCGGAAAAACAAAGAAGAAATCGAAATCGACGAAGACAGTGATTAAAAATAAAAGCCCAGTTTTATATTTTTGTATATTTTCTAAAATCTTGTACAGTCAACTATACATTTATTAAACCCAATAGAAAAATAGTTTGTTTTTCTAATGGTAGTAGAGATATTCACTGGTTTATGACTTTTCATCTGGCGGTAACCAATCGACAGTAACTGAGCACTGTGATCCATTAAAAAAGTACCAGTTTCCATGCGGTGCACCTTTTCGTGTTATGGCCTAAGAAATAGGAGTAAATTAGCAATACTGAAAGTCGATTTGAAAAATACTGCAAATTAGTTAAAAATGCTGGTTGGGGGATAGGGAAGTTAATGAACATCAGGTAGATAAATGAACAATGACAATCGTCAACTCGACTATTTGTACTGCCAACAAAAACATCAATCTGTTCACCAGGATCCCTTTATACAACATAGTAGTGCGCCTCACTGTAAGACGCAGTCGTTTATTAAGAGTTGCATTCATTTAAGCAACGGAAATGTTTTACTCAGGGAAGATGACGTGATCTTGAAACCCGTAAAACAATTTCAGATGTTTATTTACAATCAGCATTGAAATATTATGCTAATCGGTAATCTAGTTAAATGGAGAAGTCTCTTTGTTAGACTATTATTATTCACGAACCGACTGTTTGTTGATCTTGTCTAATGGTCTAAAGCATAGAAAGTGTTGACCACAGGATCTATGGAACAAGGCCGATAGTTAATCTGTGATATAGCTGGATCTTCTATTTACTTAAATTCGTACACTGGTAAGCAAGATATTCTGCATTTGTATTTTTGTAACTTAATAACCCTGTATATGTAGTCGGACATTGCCGTAGCTTCTACCACTGCAATAATGCAAGATAATACTCGGTCTATTCACATGATGCCTCTTGAAGAGATCATGATTTATTGAAGATAATAACAAAGTAGCTTTTACTTACCCTGATTATTTCTTGGGACACAACACCACCAAGTACTGGATTAACAGCTGGGATTGTAGCACCAGAGCAACATCTATGTAGGGTATTAAAAAGATAGCATGCAAAATCTGAGATATAATACTGAGGCGATCTTATAAAGTGAAGTTAAAAATATAAACATTATTCGAATTTTATTCCCAACATCTAATCACATCAAAATTCTCTAATGGTTCACTGAGTTTGTTTCGTAACTTAAAAAGTTTTCTCTAACCTACTAGTTTATAGTGATAAGTAGTAGTTGACCGAATTGCGAATTCCCAACGTATTGGGGGTTTTGTGTCCGACATTAATCGACGTATTATTTAGTCTTGCTCGGTGCCTGTACCCCATTAATTAAATTTCACAATTTGTACACATAGGTTTAATTTTGAATATTTGACCAAGAAACCCATATTTGTATCGAAGTATTGGGGTTAATAACAATAGTATACGAGGTGGGATAGTGCATGTGCACTGCTGAGGAGTCGCACAGTAGGACGGAACGACCGTCCAATACTTCCAGGTTTTCCATGGTGGTCTAGCTTTAATTGACTCATGATCTCAACTATCAAAATTATTACAGTGTTGGTGTCAAGGTTGCTAAAAATCCATGAAATATATATATATATATATATGGTCGCTTGTGCTTTTTTGACTGATTTACGAAGTGATGTGATATGGGATCGCATTTCTAGAACTTTTCAGTACAGTTTTCGTGATGGGTAAAAAAATGACATGGCTCACAATTGATTACATTGCAATATCAGACGTTATACCTGCGTTTTATCTGAGAACAGTAAGATTATAACTTACTCTAAATCTTCAATGGAAAGAATTGTTTCATCTACATCCAGAATCTTTGATACCTTTTGCCATTGGGATTGTAAATATGGTAAGGTAAATGGTGCTTCTTCGATAGAGCATTGGCTTAAAACTGAAGATTAAATGATGCAAAAATTGTCGAGTATAATATAAGCAACGTAATAAATGGTTGGGAATTAAATATTAACTTTAGGGTTTGCTGTATCACACCAGAAGCGGTTAAAAAAATTTGACAAAATCCACTTTGCATGCCGTCTTAAAATAAAAGTTTTGGTTAGATAACGAAAAAAGCGTTTGTTGTTTATTTTTTCTTTCATGTTTGTGAAAACAGCCTTGCTACATGAACATATTGAGTAGGACTTTTTTGGAGAAGGCTATAAACAATTGACTGAAACTATGTCCTTAATATTAGTGCATAAATAGAACATTGATCTTTGTCAATAATTTTGCACCGAGTTGCTGCATGCAAATATCGCGCTATGAATTTTGATGGGCCATGTTATCGGTTAGTCAGAAGACAGTTTGTCATTGTACAATGAACACGTATGTGTGAAATAATGTTGGACAACCATCTGATGCAAATCCTTTGGCGGCGAGGGGGGGTGAATAAGAAAATGCCCACAGTTTCGTTTTTAGAGCTTACTATATTGAATCGAATTGCAGTATCCAACTCAGTCTACTTCGAGCAAGAAATCTGTATTATTCACTGAAGAATTAACTGAAACTTCTCCATTGCATAATTTTCAGTTATAAAAGAGATCTTTTATCTAAAAGTCTAATATATCTTGTTCAGTACGAAAACAGTAGTTTCTACATGCTATTCGATACGGCAGTGTATAAAAACTATCAGTAATACCTAGTTATACAAACAGAAGCAGGTCGAGTTCAAATACGTGACAATCTCTATTTCCATAGATGTTATGGAGCTGAGATATTGAACATATTATTTTTTAATAGTTGGGATAAATCCTGGTCATGTCTAATCATACAAGTCTGTAAAACTTGATGACAGTGTTATAACTAAAGACGATATCTCTACGACACATTAAAATATTAACTATAAATAATTACAAGCTACTGACAACGTACAAACAAAGGATTAGGTTGAGAAATATGGGTTAAAGCTAATGTGTTGTTATACTTTAAACAATCTTAAATTCTAATCATAATAGAAGCACGATATTTACTAATGAATGAAGTGAGAATTTAAGCTAGAATATAACTGATTATAGCGAAAGATTTAATATAGGCAATATCAATTACATGAAGACTTTTATAAAGTAGTCTTTTTAAACAAAACATACCTTGCATAAGGAAATATCCTTTGGGAATATATTTAGCATGTGATCTATTTTTTAGCATGTTAGAAATAAGACATGAACTGTCTAACAGGTGACAATAGTTGAATGTCTGCAACAAAGAGGAAAACACTATGCATAAAGTATACAATGTACATCATTAACTAGGGATGTGTACAAGATTTAGACAGCTTAAATACCACTTATTAATTACAAAATTTCTGTTTTATGCAATTGGCATGAAGTCAATAAACCTAGGAAACAAAGTTGCTTCAATAACAGGGTATTAACAATTGTGTAAAAATTCACCACCCATAATTTTCTGTACTTAGAGCACACATGTCTACTAATCCAAGAGTTGCGTGTTTAATTCACCGAGAAGAAAAACTAAGCAATCTTTCCAGTTTTATACAGCCAACGGTACTTCAAAAATCAATCCATACATTCTTGAGAATAAAATTAAGGAGGAGAATATTGAACCGATATTTTCTTATTTTCCCAGTGATTATTGATATATCCGTGCAATTTTTATTGATTTTCCTTATTTTATTAACTGTTGTATCATATGCTAAAAGCAATAATTTTTTAAGGAGAAACTGACCTAACGGACTGAATGTCTAAGAGCGTATGGTGGTACACCGCAAGAAGGAATTTTCAGTATTAAAGTTCCATCATATCTTATTAGCCTTTCTTACTTACGATTAATTTTATGGAGAAAAATACAGGATGCATTTTGAAAACATTGATATGCAGTAACCATACAACATTTTCTTGTGCTAAAGTGATAATCATACACAATTTCTAGGGGTTGGGATTTGAATAAAAATCACACAGTTAAATTCACAGGGCATTAAATACGGAACTGTTTCGTTGGATCATCACACGTCTAGTTCTGGTTGCACTACATCTTAATCTAGTTTACTTATTAATATTGATAAACATAATTTCAGATTTTGCAGGCGAAACGGTTTATACAGATATATATCAACTTTAAAATTACCTTTTTTACAAGTACCGTCTCTGTATTTGATGGTTCGCTAGCTTTATTTATCTTTTGAATTGAACCAGATGATAATTCTGCCACTGATCTTTTCTTTACTACCACATCTTCACTAAAATAGTCAACATAACAATAATTACAAACTTATTGAAATTATCATAGGAAGATAATAATAGGAGTAAAAGTGTAGTCATTTTTCAGCAACTTTTAAAAGAAACTCATTTCGTAATTTTAGAAACAGTCTCCCATAGTGTTAGCGGGACATAGACTAGGTTAAAGCAAGCTCAATGCACGACTGCTTTGGTGCACGCTGATTGGCCAATTCTTATCCAATCAGCACTAGTCGATAGTTGAAGAATACTCTAGAATCTTCTCATGTAAAAACTATAAATACACTGATGTTTCCCTATTGTGCTTCTGGCTTGCATCTTGCTTCCATCTAACCTTATTATTTGGAATATAATCTCTTTCCTGTTCAACCGTGTTCTGATTTGGGGTCTTGTCGAGTGAATCGGTGTCCGAGAATACTAAGCAATAGGAATAGCTGGGTCATAACCGTAAGAAAGAGATTATAACACATAGGGAGCATGGGAGAAAAGGCAGGTTAAAAAGTTATTTGCAAGGATATTAACAGATTTTCATGTAGTTCGATTCGATCAGCAAAACCTTATATTTATCGTACACTTCCAGGGATGAATCAATCAGAATCAAGGCGACATCTAAATTTTCACGAAGTGCAAATGTCACCGAATGGGTTCTGCACGGATTCAGAATCTAGGTGACATGACTCAGAATCGATCACAATGGCGTAGGTGTCTTGCCTTAAACTATGAGATTAAAATTGCTTTATATCTTTCTTTTTAACAACTAATTCTTTATTCCTGTACTATGTCCTTATATGCAATCTTTCTTTTATATATTACCACCAATGGATTAACCACTTCTATGAATTCGGCGTTCATGTTGTTGTGCTAACGAGGTATGGCAACTTGGACCGATGCATATGTGTGCCTGGTCCTACATAGTAGCTGACTGAAATGTCACCTATAATAAGCAGTACAGATACTTCGTACACTGCTTAAAACATTTAAAGTGACAGCGAGATCTTAATTTTTACCATCACAGAGTAAAAATGATGCTGTTAAACTAATCACGTGTTCAATTCTGTCTCTATAAACTGTATACAACAGGCGAATCGATACTATCCTCAAATAATAACCCTTGATCTTGAAACAAAGCTTAATATGCTGGTACTATATTTCATGAAAAGAACCTCCTGAATTTTTGAGCAGAACTCACTCATACATATGGCTACAGAGCATTATCGCATTATAGCTGATATAATTTCGTAGTGAAAACCTTAACCCTCGACCTCTAGTTCTGACCCTGATCAAGGACAGAAAATATGGGTTTTTTGAAAATCAATTTGGGTTCCTATATTCTGGCTTAGGAAAGCACATAAACTATGGTCCATAAGAACGGATTTGTGAACGTTTATCTTTTGATTTACAGGCAGAGGAACTTATCAAAGACTTTAATAGATTCATTAATTATGTAAAATTTGAGTAAAGCCAAAATAATTGAGACATAATAAGATGAATTCACCATTTTTCGTGGTTTCTCATCAGCTGCTTACAACCATATATATATTAAAACGTAACATTGATCTATGGTATAATATGAAACAAACAACATTGATGATGGCTTTTTCATTCACTTAATTCTCTAAACTTATACCAACTCTTCAAATCCTGTCTACTTATTATGTAACCTATCTCATCAATTTCTAATTCTAGACAACTACCACCTCAGTACTCCAAATCTTCTAAATCTATTTTCAAGTGATTTGAACTATATGTAAACTATTGAAAATTTCTATATCACAATCCATCTTATCTGTTTCCAAACTTCATTTAATTACTGCCTTACCGACCCCCCTGTTTTTCGAATTCAATATATACACATAGTTGTGAGCAGCTGACGAGAAACCACGAAATATGATGAATTCGTCTTATTTTGCCTCAATTTCCGCTTTGGCTTTATTCGAATTCGAAAAGGGAATCCATTGTAGGTAAAATATGTTTACACTTAGCAATATTAGTGTTTTATTTTCAATAAACTATCCATCTACAAAGGCTGTTTTTTAGTTGACTAGGAACTAGCTGAAAATTTGTCGTTGTTTTAGGCTCGTTCCTATAATACACTTCTACAGACATTTTAATAATTAGTGAAATATCCTTGACATGATGAGTGAAATTCAAGTACTTCCTGACAATCCATTGTTAACAGCTAGTCTGAGCATAACCAGAGAGAGAGGAGTTTTCGTTAACCAGTTTATTAGCAAATGTTCGTCTCAACCTACATTAATAAGTGATTGATGTAATTTCTAAATTTATATAAGCTCCATGGGAATAAAAAATAATTAATAGATTTCAATCATCATTCACTAATGACGTTGATTGGGAATTAATGGAGCTCGAAATGGCACCGTTAGAAGCAAGGTTTTTCATTAATGATATATAGAGAGGATTACTGAATAGAGTGAATTTGAGTAATAGTGACCACTGTAAATGAATTCAAACTCTCTATAGATAGCTATCAATTGTTTGATTTAACGCAAAATAGTTGCTGTGAAACATCTGTTAGACGTTTGAGACTTGAAAGGTTTTTGTAAATTGAAGGCAGTTAATACGATAGTTATCAGGGTTCCAGCAGAATAAACGACCATTGGCTAGGCACTGATGTGACTTCAAAATAATCGAAGATTAGAAAGAAAAAATCTAGTGAGAGGATACACCTACATTAGCAGAATAAAAAAGTTACCTTTTTTATATAGTAATTCCTAACTTAGCTAAGAAATGTGCATTATATAACAATGAATACCACGTTTTCGTGAAATAATGTAGGAGTTTTGCATGACGGCAATATCAAAAAGTTTCCAATCCCTAGAGTTGTTTATAATAGATATTAGTTCGTATAAATTTCTTCCATGGACGGAGAGTGCGAATAGTAACAACTTAAAAATTAATAGTATTCCTTTGTTATCGACGGTTTTTCAGAGTAAAAATGGCAAACATAACTTTCAATTAGATAGTTAGGACCTATTAGTTGTACTTTTCGAGCTGTAATTAGCAATCTCAGTGGTCTACATAAACCTACTTCACGAAAAGGTACCGAAGATGTAATTACTATGACACAAATATAAACTGGCGTGATACCAGCACTGGTTTAGCAGTTCAAAGTTTAGGATCCAATCCCCGATGTATTTTTCTTTTACTTTACTTGAATGACAACCTAGCCTTCCGACTTCTTGGAAGATTTAGCTTGTGTAAACAGAACTTTCTTCTATGTAATTCCAGTTACGCCTGACAAATGACTTAGTGCCCCATGCCATGGTACGGCCGATAGTGGAAAGTCAGCTCATCCTCTCGAAATGCTCTCACATGGCCACGCGTATACAGCCACTGTCAAGAAAGTCCTACTCACTGCCTTCTCGCGAAAGGAAGGGTTACGGAATTCAAAGGACAGAAAGCGAACTTCTGGCGATTTGATCGGGTTGGTGAATATGGAGAACCTACCTAGGGGAGTTGGAAAACACTGACTCCAAATTAATGATGCGCTTGGGTTCCAGAGTCCTGGAGGAATAAATGGTATATGACCCTATTGTTGGTCTCCGTCTACCATGGGAATGCATCTCCTAATGTTGCTCCACTGCCTTGTGGATTAGACATCTGGATGAAAGGCTCAGAGAGTGGCCCTTAAGGAAACCATATGCTTCGGTTTGGGTGATCGGGTAGTATTCCAGCCCTTAAACAAATCGAATGACAAAGTGTGGCGCATGTGTATTTGGTACTTCCTCGTGCCATTGTTTACGCGTTTAAATAAATGACTCATTACAGCATATAAATACTGACTCGAAATATGTAGTACTTACGACAAACATTCATGTGCGCCGAGATCTATAAACGCGAGTCCAAACAATCCAGTTACTGATGCACATATTATATATGGTCTTGTATCTATGTCCATACCACTCACAATGCCACATATAGTTGACCATTGTTTAAAATGAACGCTTGAACATTCGGTTATAAGGATGATCAAATTATATTCTTGAAATTTATCTTTTAGATCATCTCCCAGCTCAGAAGATTGTACTTTAACCATTGGATTCAGGCTTTGAGTACGACCAATAACCGCGTCGGCACGCTAAAAAATGTATAAGTTATCGTAAAGGAAGAACGAACTGCTACTTACGTTTAGTCCAACGGAATCACATGGTATAAGGAAGTTGTTTTCCAAATCGTCATTAGTGACTTGTTGACCATCTATAATTGTGAGGCTGGAGATACCCGCCAGAACAATATTTTTAGCTATTTCTGCAGCCAATGCATTCATACCAAGTAATAAAACTTTAGACTGTTTGAGTCGATTTTGTGATTCTATGCCCCATAGTCTTATTTGTCTGTCATACAATTCAGCTTCTTCTTCTGTTATTAGATTGTTGGAGAGATTATCGGATACCATTTTTCCAAAATTAGTTAGTTAATTGGTACGATTTCCGAACTAGACCATATAACGAATCCAGAGTACTATGAATTCTAGTATTAAAAAAGGTCAGTAAGTTTAACGTACATGTTGAAACAAAAGAAAAGTAGTTAGATAAAAAATGCTGTGAGCAGAAAACTAGTTGGCAAACACAATTATTTGGTGGTATTCTAAGTCTGAGTATAATTGCTAGAGATCTAAGATTGTTTAATCATAAGCAAAGTAGAACCTGGTCAATATGCACCAAAGTTCTCAAGAATTTTATCATGCAGTCACATTTTGACAAAATTAAACGAAAGTAGTCGGAGTATCAAACACATGCATTACTAGAATTACTAAACGAGTTTACAAGGTTATGTAACAGTATGAGTTATTGAAATCAGAGTTGACTACAAAGTAAAACGTTAGTGTTTTAGCCAAATATATTGTACATTATTCAAATTACATTCGACTTCTCAGAGTTAGGGCTCTAACCTAGATGTTTCTTTGAGGACTGAATGTGCAAATGATACAGTTTTGGTATATAAAAACAGTGAAGGGTTTGAGCGCAGATGAAACATTAAAAAAAGGATTTTGTGAGCGCTTTAGATGATACTAAGGGTTATTTTGCTTCAATTAGTTTAAGAATATGCAAATAAATGATTAAATTGACCACAAATTCCAGAAGTTGACATATCTTCACACATTGACAACCAAAGTAATCCCAAAATAAGGTTGCTTAGTTTTAATAACTTCTGCCACTAAGTATTTTCTGATATTCTAAAACCTATCTAGGAGCAAGTGTGTTGGACAGCACTATACACCAAGGTAAAATTTTGGTTACATAGGAGACGCCAGTAACCACCTGAAGATGTTTCCGAAGAACTGGTAGCATTACATAACCAAAAGGTTTGGAATGTTAAAATCAAGTGTACGTTTCCAGGGAGGAAGTTAATGAGATAACTGTAGATCTAAACTTCCTAATTTGAATGTAATGTATTATTGAAGTCACACCACAAGCTACTTAAAGGTTAATGGTGGTAAAAACACGTCTAGAAGTTGTTCTAAGGCTGAGAATATCATATTAGAGAGAAAATCTAACGAGTAAACTGTGATGTATTTACACTTGGCATAAGAAGACGTTCTCATCGGCAAGATAACTGATTACTCATAACAGTTAGGCTGGAACTACCCAATCACAATATTATGGGGAAGCTTTGAGGGAAAATCCCGAAGTGTTATGAAATTCTAAGGAAATGTTGTGAAAAACCCAGTTTCCCCAAAACCTGGGGGAATGTTGGTGTTTTTGTACCATTTTCCCAAAATTTCTATTGCGACTTCAAAAGTTACTTAAATCGAACAAAACTTTACCCAAAATAGGGAGATTGGGCAGTATAAATTAATTTAGCACGTGATACAGATTTACATTTGTTAAGACCTACTACACAGACTATCACGATGAAACCGCAGCCACGAACACTGAAAGAATGAAAATGATGAAATAAGCGAAATAGAGGACAATGCAGCTCGCCCCCAGTTTTAAGCAATGATTTGATCCACACTTAATTGTAGTTAATCAGAGGAATTTCTCTGATTAACCGCTGAATTCAGTGAGATATGGAGTCATATAGGCACATCAATATATTGATCATGATGCTATTTTTCATACACTAACTACATCACACACAAAAGCTTTGTGTAGATGAACGTTATAAACTTATATTTATACCGAATTCGGTAACTCAACTTTTACAACCATTTGAGTACCAAGGTCATGCGGTAGCACATTCAAATGGTTCAAATGGTTCAAATGGTTGTGGACGGAATAGAAGAAGCTTTCACTTAACAGGCTTCCGTGTCTAGTAGCAGGGGATCACCAAATCCTCCAGGCAGGAACCTAGGTATGTTAACAATAAAAGAGGAAAAGAAATTGGTAAATCATAGTGTTGTAGCGGTAAATAAATCCTCAAAATATATAGCACTAAGTTTTCGACATTGTTTTAGTGGACTCATCTAGCTGAAGGCGCTCGGTCAGGCATCCGCACCAGATTACGTGTGGTAACGCCGTGCTCAACATCAACCGCAATCGCTAACCAGATTAGATCAGAGAATTCCGATATATTGGTCATCGCCAAATATACTCTTCCGATCTCCTCGACTCTGTCTTTTGATTTCTCTGGGTGGGAACGAAATACATTAGGTGTTACTGGTAAAAGCGTTGTCAAACACTGAATACCTGTGACATCATCAGTGTGATGCTGTCCTTGGTCCTTAAGAATAGGTCAAGTTGACTCTTGAAGGACTCCTGGGAAGTCGCTTGGACTAGCTCGGCCGGTAGCGAATTTCAGCTTTTGACAACTGTTAAGGAGTAGAAGTTGTGTCTACATTCCATCTTGTTATGTTGTGTTTCCAGTGAGCGCTTCAATACTTAAAACCTGTGGAACAAACCGTTTAAAAGCATTGTCTTTCTATGTCTGCTTGCTTCAATGATGAAAAATGATTCGTATTTATAAATTTTTTTTTAAATTCGGCAATCTGGCGTATGAAACGCGCGTGTTTCAAAAAGGGCTGTGATGTTGTACTTGTTGTGATTATCCTTGATTTTGTGTAATTGCTGCATCAAAATCATTCTTGGTCTATATCAAAGTGCCTTATTTAAGGTTTGAAATCTTGCTGAAGTTTGTCTTGTGGTAGCCTTTTACTCATTGACTGACACTTGTGTTCATACTGTGATCATATTGTATTTTACATCCTACTCTGACTAAAATGGTTGGTAGTACTCACAAATGTGAACAACGAAACTGTTTGTTCCCTGTGGAGGAAGTAATGCAGTGATTAATGCAAAAAGAGGTTCCATAAGGAGTGCATCCGTTTAAGTCCCACCTCATACAAAAGATGTTCGAAGCCTAACTCACATTGGCTTTGTATGTTTTGCTGTGCAAATAAGACGTTACTAATACAAGATGCTATGAGCTTATTGGCTTTGGCCTGTAAGAAGAACGATTGCGCATGCGCCGATAACACGAGCACTGACAGTGACGAATGTGTCAGTGTAGTACGTGCTGTTACGAGAGGCCTCAAACAACCGACTTTGACCGACGGAAAAGTGAAATTTCCGTTAACATTAACGACGAGGGTAGTACCACCTGTCACTGGTATTGGTAAACATGCACCCCTAGTGGAAACTGAAGATCTGGATAAAACTGTCACTGCTCCAAATAGTCCTGAGGGGTGAAAAATGGACTACAGTACACAGAAAACGGAACGAAAAGAAAGAAACTGTAAGCAGTACGCAGGTGGTTAGCAAGTCACTGATGGACTCCATTGTGAGTCACTAAATGCACTACCAAAATCTGATGCACTGCCAAAATCTGATAGTAAGAGAGAAGCCCACCCTGGCGTGACTGAGAAGAAGAATCTAATCTCACCGAATATTATTGTGAGCAAATTGCTCGAGTCAAACAACCCTGATCCCAAAGTTAGACACGCGCATGAGTTAGAGTAGCTGGGAGAATATATTTGTAGTATCTTACCAAGTAAAAAACTGGTTAGAATAGACAAGAGGACTGAGGAAAATGTTGAACCCCGACCATGTGGACTCCTTAACGTAATCCTAGGATCGAAGAAGCAACGGGATCTCCTGTTAAGTAGCGCTCGTTGTCACGACAACTACGATATACGGGTTAGACCTTATATGTCTCTGGAAGAGAGAATAAAAAGGAAGGAAATATCAGCTGAACCAGAACATCGTCGGCAAAACGATGAAGAAAATCTCCGGCTAGTGTATTTTCGGATACTCAGGTCTTGGAAGCGAATGCTACCAAGGACTGTGTGGATAGGCCGTTCTACTTAGGAGTTTTTTATGTCAATGCTCGTAGTCTAAGAAATAGGTTCTATGAACTAAAAGCATTAGTGGGCAGATTAAGGCCACTCATTGTAGCAGTGACAGAAACTTGGTTAGTCCAAGACATATACATTACTCCAGAATTATTCAGATAACATTTTTTAAGGAGTGATAGACATGGATGTAGAAAAGGAGGTGGCGTCCTGTTATATAAAGCCAATAATATAAACATTCGCTTCTCTGTTAGAAAATCCCATGATAGCGGTACTTGTGAAGTCATTAGCTGTAAATTGGCTATCGGATTTAGTACATTTATGCTCGGTGTTATCTATCGCAGCCCAATCTGGTTGAAAAAGGTGGAGAGGTGGTCAGTGTATGACATGGTGTCGTGGCATGAAAGAAAGCTGTGAAGGGCTGGCTTCTGTTGGACCTTCACGACTTCATGGCTGGGGTCCGAGAGATGGTGCAACACAGTGGCTAGAGACGTTACAAGATATGGCTCAGTACAGAAACCAGTGGAGAACTTGTTGTAACCTTATTTTACTTTCTGTATAAAAGCTGACAAATAAGGACATAAAAAATACGCGACAATGCGAAACACCTACGCGAAAACAGTTTCAGTTTGGAAAGGACAGGAGACCTGATGGCCTGTGTTAGTTCTGGTTATGGTGGTACCTCAGTTGATCCAAATTTCTTTTGAAAGAGTAGACGGATGGAGCCTCAAATACGTGCTGAGGTAATGAATTACACTCGTTGTGATTCGATGAGAAAGTCGATAATCAGCTGACAAGTAACCTGTCCTGAGCTTGCGAACGTTTTTGGAGTGTTCTCATAAATTCTCTGTTTTGGAAGACTTAAAAAATGAGGGCATGTCAGGTGCAAATTTATTACTAAGTAACTTGAAAACTGTAATCAAGTCGCCCCTAGTTCTTCGTTATGACAACGGGAATAGGTCTGACTTTGCCAGTCGAGCATCATACGGGAGCTTCGCCATCCATGAATCAGCTCAGTTGCTGTTCTCTGAACCTTTTCCAAAAGTCCACTGTCTTTTTTCAAGCAAGGGCTAACCGCTTGTATGCAGTACTCAAGTTTAGGACGTACGAACTCTGTATACAAACGTCAAAAACGTCTTAGCGTTGACATGACTAAAAGCCTT